AGAGTTTGACACATAGTCGTGTCATTTGTTTCAACCAAGAACTGTCTTCTTACCTTGCTCGCAGTAGCTTTCTTAAAGGGGAGTTTCTCCCTTCTTTGAGTCTTCCAGGGTTCTTCACTTTTCACACTACCCGAAACCTCCATTCTTTCTTCTTCTTCCTCTTCTCCCTTCTCTTCTTTTTCTTCCTCTTTCTCACTCTCCATTCCTTCGTTTTCCCTAATTCTTCTCAGTGTGGACTGGTCAATATCCGATCCTTCTGGGATAGTCTCTTCCTCAATCGGACTAGTGGGCTTCAGACCAGCCCTTTACACATTTCAGTAACGAGACAGGGGAAAAAGAATGGAGAGTTCCTTGGTGCATTCACCTCCAATTGTCTGTACACTATTCTTCCAACATCGAACTTTTTCCTGGTCAAGATGCAGAAAACCAGCACTGCTCTTTTTCAGTTTACTCTAGAGTCATTGCTCACAGGAATCAGACGGGAGTTTATAAAATGCATCCATACCTTTGCTTCGAACTTGAGGTACCTCCTAAGGACAGACTCCTTGGTTCCCCAAGTTTCTCCTTCTGAGCCTATTCCCTGAAGCACCTCTCCAGTTATGACTTCATCTCCTCGGCCAGCACAGTATTTTTCGAACTCATCCTGATCAGTGGGGACTGAAGTTGTGTTGTATGCTCCATTAATCTCCTTAGGGGAGAAGTCCACCTCTACTCCACTAATAATGAGCTTGGGAAGCTCTTCCTTCCTCACCTCCTCTAAAAATGCACTTACAAACTCAGTGCGAGCTCTTGTAGGAGGTTCGACAAACAGTTCCCAGTCCAGTGTTGCTATGTCCTCTTCCAGCCATCGTTCGATCTCTCTATGCTTGGAGCTGTTAAGAACGATGCTCCTTTCCGGCATGATTGTACGGTCATTTTTCGTTTCAAAAGCTTTGAGCTTTTGCCCTCCTCGAGTTCTCTTGCAAGAAGAGGCGGCAACAGGTATAATGGTTTTCTGACGCGTCATGGTGTAAAGATCTGAGTCCGGGAGATGGAGTGAGGAGTAAAGGTTTGGTCTTTGTAGTTTTAAGGGGAATAGAGTGTGAAAAGGGGATGATGGTCCCTGTGTTAACTTATAAGGAAATGAAGGAAGGGATGAGAGGGTTTGAAATGCTCTTTGTGCATAAGGAGTGGTGATCGTGGGCTATGATGAGTAGTGGATAGGTGGGGGTGTCTACTGTGCTTTAAGGCGTGTGGGAAAAGTAACTGTCCTCTCTGCTCTGACGGTTACTCCCTCTTTGAAAATTTCCGTTTCTGTTGATTGAAGGGTTGCGACAGCTGCCTACTTCTGTTGATTGGAGGGGTGTGATAGCTGCGACGTGGGTATTACAACATGGAGCTGTTTTTTTTTTTTTTTATGTGTAGCCTATTGCAGACCATTGGATCAAAAGGGCCAGTAGGAGCAGCCCAACTAAAATTTGGGCTCAAATAGAGGAATCAAATTCTAAGTAATGGTTGCTCCATGTCTTCTATCTTTGGGATCAGGTTGCTCAAGAGCAACCCCAAAACTAGCCTCCTGCCATGGTTAGCACAATAAAACTTTTTTTCTTAAACATGAATAACATAAACATAAAAATAAATCTGGGTTGTCTCCCAGTAGCGCTTCGTTTATAGTCCTAGCTCGACTTGTTGCCCCCTTGTTCAAACTTCAACTGGGTCAGTGAGATGAGAAGTCAGCTCCTCATGCTCATTGATCCCCCTGTTGTATTTTTTTAGTCTGTGTCCATTTACTCTGTACGTTGCTCCAGATGTCTCATGAGCAATGGTAAATGCTCCATTGGGGAGTGCTTCAGTGATCTCATAAGGACCTTCCCATCTTGATTTCAACTTTCCAGGAAACAATTTCAATCTGGATCGATATAACAACACCTTGTCCCCAACTCCTAGTTCCTTCTTGATCAGCTTTTTATCATGCCACCTTTTCACCTGCTCCTTGTAGAGGTTGGCGTTTTCAAATGCCTCGCTCCAGAATTCTTCCAATTCAACCAATTGAAGCAACCTCTTTTCCCCAGCCATTCTGGCGTCCATGTTCAGCAAAATGATCGCCCAGAATGCTTTGTGTTGGAGTTCCAAAGGCAAATGGCAAGCCATTCCGAATACCAATTTGTAGGGGGAGCAGCCAATAGGCGTTCGGTAAGCTGTTCGATACGCCCATAGGGAGTCATCCAGTTTGTTGGACCAATCCTTTCTACCTGGGTTCACCACCTTTTCCAGGATCCTTTTTATTTCCCTGTTGGACACCTCCACCTGCCCGCTGGTCTGTGGGTGGTAGGGGGTGGCAATTTTGTGCTGCACTCCATATTTCTTCAGAAGCAGTTGGAATTGTCTGTTTACGAAATGTGTACCCCCATCGCTGATGATTGCTCTAGGGGTTCCAAATCGAGTGAAAATATTTTTCTTGATAAACTTCAGCACTATCCTGGCATCATTGGTGGGGGTAGCAATAGCTTCTACCCATTTCGACACATAGTCGACTGCAACAAGTATATACTTGTTCCCAAAAGAAGGTGGAAAAGGTCCCATGAAATCAATGCCCCACACATCAAACAATTCAATCTCCATTATTGGAACAAGGGGCATTTCATGCTTTCTTGTAATATTTCCTGTTCTCTGGCACCTGTCGCATTTTTTAACAAAGACATTAGCATCTCTAAACAGGGAAGGCCAGTACAGACCTGATTGTAGCACTTTAGCTGCTGTTCTTGCTCCAGCAAAGTGTCCTCCATAAGGGGAATTGTGGCATTGCTCCAGTATTTTCTGTTGCTCTTCTTCAGGGATACACCTTCGAAGTAATTGGTCGGGACACTTTTTGTAGAGCAAAGGGTCGTCCCAAAAATACTTCTTGGCTTCATGATGGAATCTCTTTCTCCCTTGGTAGCTTAAGTGGTATGGCTCTATTCCAGCAGCTAGGTAGTTTGCAATATCTGCAAACCAAGGAGCATGTTTTTCAGAGATCATTAGCAGCTGCTCATCAGGGAACGTCTCTTTGATCTGATCTCCTTCTTGTGAGGCCATCCTCTCTAATCGAGATAAGTGGTCAGCCACCTTGTTATCACCTCCTCTCCGGTCCTTGATTTCAAGGTCAAATTATTGGAGTAACAGTATCCATCTAATCAATCTTGGCTTGGCATCCTTTTTGGCAAAGAGTTGCTTGATTGCTGAATGATCAGTGAATACTGTAACTTTGGAGCATATCAGATATGACCGAAACTTGTCGCATGCAAACACAACTGACAACATCTCCTTCTCCGTCACTGTGTAGTTGACCTGCGCCGGAGTAAGAGTTCTACTGGCGTAGTACACAGTTCTGAAGATTTTGTCTTTTCGTTGCCCAAGTACTGCTCCCAAGCCGATATCGCTGGCGTCACACATCAATTCGAAAGGAAGACTCCAATCTGGGCTTTGAATGATAGGTGCGGACACCAGCCTTGACTTGAGTTCAAAGAAGGCTGTCATGCATTTTTCATCAAAATTGAACTTCCTATCTTGCTCCAGGAGTTCACAGAGTGGCTTTGCAATCTTGGAGAAGTCCTTAATGAAACGCCTGTAAAAACCGGCATGTCCCAAGAAGCTTCTTATCCCTTTCACTGTGGTCGGGGGAGGTAGCTTCTCAATTGCCTCCACCTTGGCTTTATCCACCTCGAGACCTTTGCTTGAGATTTTGTGTCCTAGCACAATGCCTTCTCTTACCATGAAATGGCATTTTTCCCAGTTCAGCACTAAATTGCTTTTGACACATCTTTCCAATACCTGTTCAAGGTTATTAAGACAAGTAGGAAAAGAACAGCCAATAACAGAAAAATCATCCATGAAAATCTCTACTGCTTCTCCTACTAAATCAGTGAATAAAGCAAACATGCATCTTTGAAAAGTTGCAGGGGCATTACACAGCCCAAATGGCATTCTTCTGAATGCAAAAGTCCCAAATGGACATGTAAAAGTGGTTTTGTGTTGGTCTTCAGGAGCAACCGAGATTTGGTTGTATCCAGAATACCCATCCAAGAAACAAAAGAATTCTTTTCCAGCCAGATGATCCAGCATTTGGTCAATAAAAGGGAGGGGAAAATGATCCTTACGGGTCGCATTATTCAACTTTCTATAGTCTTGACAAATCCTCCACCCAGTTATCTTTTTGGTGGCTATTAATTCATGTTTTTCATTTTCAACTACAGTGATGCCACCCTTTTTTGGAACACATTGCACAGGGGCAACCCATTTGCTGTCAGAGATAGGATAGATTATACCTGCATCAAGCCATTTGATGATTTCCTTTCTTACCACCTCTTTCATATTGGGGTTCAGCCTCCTTTGATGCTCCACAGATGAGCTGTCAGGATCTTGGAGCAAAATTTTATGCATGCAGATTGTTGGGCTAATTCCCTTTATATCAGCCATGGTCCAACCGATTGCTCCTCTGTAGTCCTTAAGCTTCTGTGTGAGCTGAAGTTCCTGTTCATGGGTTAGTAAAGAAGAAATAATCACAGGGAGAGTGTTTTCTTTCCCCAAATAAATATACTTCAGGTGTTCAGGTAAAGAGGCTTTAACTCCAAGGTAGGCGGTTGCTTTACTGAGGGCAAATTTGGTCTTTGCTCTTGCTCCGATCGGTTCAAGGATTCGAAGATCCTTTCTTTCTTGTCCTCAGTATGAATGGAATTAATGGACGCAAGGTATTCCTCCAATTCATCAAAGTCCTTCATGCCTATTTCTGACTGCAACTGCTCCTGTTGTTCTTCTTTTATGATCAAGTCAAGAGTTGAAATGCTAGAGCATTCCTCAGTGCTATCTTCATCAAACTTCATTGCTTTCATGACATTGAACTTCACCTCCTCTCCATTTACACTCATGGATAGTTCGCCTTTTCTGACGTTTATGACAGCATCACCAGTGGCCAGGAATTATTGGAACTTCTTGGTCTGCTTCAAAATCCAAGATGATGAAGTCAGCTGGTAGAATGAACTTGTCTACTTGGACAAAGACATTCTCGATTTTTTCTCTGGCTTGACTATGGATCGGTCTGCAAGCTGAAGAGTGACTGCGGTTGGTCTTGCTGCTCCTATGTTAAGCTGTTTGAAGATAGAAGCTGGCATTAAATTTACACTCGAGCCCAGATCACAAAGTGCTCGACCAAGGTAGTTCTTCCCAACTGTACACGGGATGGTGAATATTCCAGGGTCCTTAAGTTTGGGAGGAATCTTAGTCAGGTATTTGCATGATTCTTCAGTGAGGGCTACAGTCTCAAATTCCTCAATCCTTCTTTTTTTTGGCAAAACGTCCTTCATAAATTTTGCATACGAAGGCATTTGTTCCAGAGCCTCCACCAGAGGGACATTTATGTGAAGCTGTTTCAACAAGTCTAAAAACTTGCTAAACTTCCTATCTTGATGTTGTTTTTTTAACCTCTGGGAGGCTCAATTGGTTCACTCCTCTTTTTGCATGGTGGAACATAAGTTGGGACTGAAACTAGTTCATTGTCTTTCATTGCTCCAACATCTGCTCCAGATGTTGCGGCAACTGGTGTGACTTCAGTGAGATCATCGTTCTGGACCTTCTCCCTTGATTCTGTCTGACCTTCAAGGGGTTGAGGGTCAGTAGCTTCCTCAACTCCTTCTTCCATAGGTTGTCTTGCTAGTTCGCGTTTACGAGATCGTGCTACTAAATCTGGAGGTGGCAGAGTTTTTCCATCTCGTAAGCTTATAGCATTACAACGCTCCTGGTTTTCCTGGGACAGTTTTTCTGTGTCACTAGGGAGTGTCCCTGGTTGTCTCTGTTTGAGTGCTCAAGCCAACTGACCAATTTGGGTCTCCAGGCTCCTCATGGCTGCACTGTTCTGATTCATGTATTCCTTGACAAAAGTCTCAAAGGATTGGGACTTCCCTTCACCCTTATCCCGGTTTTGATGGTTCTGCCTGGGATATGGGGGTCAGTTCTGGTAGTTTCCTCCACTACCTCCAGCATTATTCTGACTTTTCCATCCCCGGTTGTTGTTCCCTTGATAATTATCATTGCTCCTGTTGTTATTATCGTAACCACCTGCATAACACACAGCAGCCAAATTGTTACAATCCTCAGATTCATGAGGACCTCCACAAATAGAGCAACTTTGACTTGATTGAGTCAAGAGAACTTGCTCGGCTGGTTTTTTCTGTTCCATGGGCTTCCAATTTTTTATAGTATTCTGGAGCGAAGCCATCTGTGCTGAAAGAGCATCAGTTGAGCTTATCTCAAGAACTCCTGCTTTCTTGGAAGCATTGTTCTGTGTGGAAGGCCATTGAACATGTTTTTTTGAAAGTTTTTCCAACAACCGGTAGGTTTCCGGATAAGTAAAATCCAAAAGATCTCCCCTGCAGCCGCATCAACAGTGGCTTTCAATGGTGGGGTTAAGCCATGATAAAACGTGTGAATAATTCCCCAATCAGAAACTCCAGGATTTGGGCAAATTTGTATTAATTCCTTAAAGCGCTCCACGCTTCAATAAGACTTTCTCCATCATACATTTGGAAAGATGCTATATCAGCCCTCACTTGGGCTTGTTTTGCTTGGGAGAAAAATCGGGTGACAAACTGTTCAGCTACTTGCTCCCAACTAGTGACGAAATTTGGGGGCAATGTTCTCCTCCATTATTTGGCTTTTCCTGCTAGGGAAAATGGAAACAGCCTCATTCGCATACTTTCCTCTGAGATACCATGAACTTTGAAATTATCAACTATCTCAGTAAAGTTGTCCGAATGACTGTGGGGGTCTTCCATAGGCAATCCATGGAATTGACCAGCATTCATAATCATTTGGAACATTGCAGGTTTGATTTCAAAGTTCGGGACATCCAGAGGATGAGGAACATAGCCTCGTTCTGGACCATTTCTGAAGGGAGCAGCCATATCATTCAACGATGGCCCTCTTCCTCCATTCTATCCTTCTTCATTCTCATGATTATTATTTTCATTGTTACCATTTTCACCATTATTTAGAACTTCCTCCATTGTATTATTTCTTAACCTTTGAACTCTTCTTCTATTTCTGAAGGTTCTCTCGGGTTCTGGATCAAAATGTACCATTTCCAGTCCAAGTTCTCTAGGTTCTGTGCTCATACAATAGGAAGAAGTCAAACACAATAAAAACAAACAAGATTTCAAAAACACAAACAACAATGATCCCCGGCAAAGGCGCTAATTGCTTGGTTGAACCGAGAGCTGCTCAGGGATATTTTTTTAGGAGCAATAATACAGAGTGATAATCGAGATTGCAAACAGGAGCAATCTACTCTGACGGAGAGAAACCCTCTTCAACTATACGCAAGCGTACGTGTCAAGCAATACAAGGTGTTGTTAGCCCCAGATTTATCGTCCTCAGGGAGCAGTTGTTAAGAAGGAATCATTCAGGGAAACTTAATTCTTAGAAAAATGAAAGGAAAGTAGTTATTCTCAACCAAGCTTCACAAGGAGCAATTTCTAGCCAGCTAGTTAAACAGTGTTAACCATTCTGAACTAGATGAGAGCAGTGAATAACTTAGCATAGTCATCGAATATCAAGGCATCAAATTGAAGTAACTCAAAAGAAATTAGTGAAGTGATTATAAAAGCAGCAATAGATAAGCACAATTTGGTTGTCGTGAAGAAAGTTATAACAAAAGTTTGATGTGAGATTGAGTTTAGAAAGAGTTAAGTAGGTGTTTCGGGTTCCATATTTTCAACCCTTTGGTTAACCCTGCTTGGTAGCATATTTTAAAAATGAATTCTGCTCCTTTCGTCGTTTTACCACAAGTAAATAAAAGAGCAAGGCCTTACTCTCCACATTACTCCGTAGAACTTAGGGTTAAATGCAAGGAAACCATGCTGCCTTCTCAAAAGAGCCTGGATTCACATGGCAGTGCTCTTCATTCCAGGTGTTCCTCCCTCCTTTCTTCAGGCTGAACTACCCCAAGATCTTGAGACTGCTCCGCACGCCCTTGTCAGTGTTTCATCGACCGAGTGGTCTCGGGATGAGGTTGCCAGCCCAAAGGGTTTCACAGAATCAATATATTAAACCAAAGAACAGCTCAAAATTCATTCATAAAATATGTGTTCCTTGCAAAGTTATCCTAAGACAAAATAGATTACTTCTATGGAACCCTCACCTACTTAGAGGAAGTTAGCTCCTAGCGAGCATTACAAAAGAAAAATATCAGGAAAAATAAATGGCAAGCCCTCGAATGGTGTCCCGATCCCTTCTCATGAAGGTTGATTCTTCCTTTTATAGAGTTCTTCTGTCAGATCCTCATCGTCCCTTTCATCAAGGGTTGTGCCTTCTTCAAATCCTCTCCAATAGCCGGTCTGCTCTCTGCCAGCTCAGCTCTGCATGGCAGTGGTCCCCCTTGCTTTTCGTGCTTTTTCTCGGGTGAGAATTTCGGAATCAGGGAGACACCTCCACCTTCTCTGCTGCGGCTGACATGGAGGCTCCTGATTGCTGCCTTTTACTGCTTTTGTACTGTAGCAGGCTTTTATGCTCCCTCCTGCGCAGCATTCTTCCTTTTTTTCCTTAATGTGTGGGGCCTTCTGTTAGGTCTCAAGTTTCCTGATCAAAACAAATCAACCCGAAAATCATATGTGAAAAAGGTAATGTCAATTTTCTCCAGGGCTACTCTAATTCCCATTTCAAGTATCGCTCTGGTCCACTTTTCAAGACAATTGCTCTTCATGGAAAAAGAAGGTTAAAGAGAGTGATTTGTGACCAAAACAAAGGTTTTGTGGAGTGATATATACTTAATGGACCTCAACTTTTGAGGACCATCACTTATATGCCGAGGAGTTGCGTAGTATTGGTAGCTACCATTCCAGCTTCGTCGTATTTTATATCCCGATATTCCCCAGTTTCTCTAAATCCCTTGCTATATCCCGTTTTGAAAGTGGTTGTTTTATATTATTTATATGCCTCGAAGTGAACCATTGGGCGGAGTTTTCTCCAGAACCTCTGGGTTACTGAGATATATCCGTATATCTCACCCCGTCTTGGGGCACTATTTCAGGAAGTAGCAGTGGCAGTGGAGCGGCGGGCAAGAAGCCCGTAGGATGACTAGTGGGAGCACCTTTACCATTTTGCATTTTGTTGGCCATGTGGCCTAGGCTAGACTTAGGGCATGAACATCTCATATATATGTAGGATGAGTTTCATTAGCATATTTGTTCATGTCGTTTTGCTTAAGTCTAGTAGTTTGTATCATTTAAGCTTATGTTTCATTTTGTAACTAAAGTTATAATATTTATAAGTTGTAAATTGAAGTTGAAGTTGTAAGTTGTAATATGTAAGTTAAATGTTGTAAATGTACAAGAAATGCATGATATACTATGATGGAAGGGCTTTAGGCCTATTGTAGGTTTATGATTACTTGTATGTTGGAAATATGCATGAAAAGGGACTTTGTTGATTGAAACCATTTAAGGATTTAAAGTGAGCTATATTGTGTAATAAATATAAACTGAGTTGGGTTGTAAGTGCCCCAAGGCATTGTTGGTCCTTGTGTGTGCCACCCATTGGATTATTAGGTAAATTTGAGGTAGTAGTGAGCTTATGCAAATTTGGGGATTTTAGGAAAAACAAAGGAAACTCTAGCGAATTTTCTGTAGAATTGGCAGATTTTAGACGAACTTCGAGAGAGCATATCTCCCTCCACAGAGGTCCGATAGGGACATGCCATACGCCACTTTGAAGCTTGAGATGTCCCCTACATGGTGTTAAAATGGGCTTAGATGGGAACAAATTTACGTCCGATCACCTATCTGCCCTCATCTCATTCATGAAGGCGTGCATCATATCAGGGTCTCGGTCATATTTCTATTTGCAGCAGTCTCTTTCTACAGAGCATTCAGAACTGCAGTAATAGGATCTGGTGCTGCTAGACGCCCTTCACCTCGAGTTCCACGGCGACCTCGTGCCCTACTCATGATATCTGTACATGTAACACAAAGGAATGAGCTTATCAGACCCACACTGAGGAATCACATATACATTAATCATAAACAGTTCACAGATAGCTATGCAACACGAAATACAGTAATACATTATCAGAGTTCCCTTACAAAACTGCTCTGATACCATAAAATGTAATAGCCCGTTGTACACCGGTATTGTTAACATTAATTATGATATTAAGCGCAGTTACAATCATAACAATTCATTTATAAAAAAGCGAGTAAACTTTTTTCATTTATTACGCGAGCATTTAAAACAATAAAGAGCGTAATAATTAAAAGCCATGACCGTAACTGTAAACTATTTGCGGAATACTTATTTAGACTATTTTATAACTTATTTTAGTTACTACAAGTTA